CTGAGAGATCGCATCACTCCAAGGGGATGCTGCAGTCACATCTGTACTCTGCCTAGCCTAAATTATAGGGCAGCACAGTCTGGGGTTAGCAGGTAGCAGTGCAAGTAAGGCTTGGACACCAGAAAGCTTTTCTCTTCCTTGAGGCACAATCTTGCCCTGCAATTCAGCATCCTAAGAGAAAAAAGCATCTTCAGGTCTGCGAACAAAGAGAGACCTCCCTAGCCTTTGTATCAGGTCTTAAATGTGATCTCCATCCTTCCCTGTGTTGAAGGTGATGATGTTTTTTTCCAGCATACCTGGAGATATGAATGACACCCGTGCCAAGAGCAATATCAGCGCTGCTGTGGAACTGTTCCAGCTTATCATGTACACCCCAACATTTTCCCTGGGATTGCTGTTCAATGCGATGGCCCTGTCATTCCTGTTTTTTAAGGTTAAAAAGCTGTCAGAATCTACAGTCTACATGATAGCCCTTATTTTTCTTGACACTTTGCTGCTGTTTACCCTTCCTTTCAAAATCATGTCCTACCACCTTCAGGACAACTGGAACTTGGGGTCTGTGTTTTGCTCCACCTTGGAGAGCCTTTACTTTGTGAACATGTACGGCAGCATCCTCATATCCCTCTGCATCTGTGTGGACCGGTACATCGCTATCCGGCACCCTTTCACGGCTCCCACCCTGCGATCCACCAGGAAAGCTGCTATGGTCTGTGCTGTCATCTGCCTGGGCACCTCAGCTGGCACAGTCTTTACTTTCCAACTGCATGAAGAGGGCCACGACATCTTCTCCTGCTTCCATAACTTCTCCAAGAACACATGGGAAAACGCAGGCCTGTTCAGTGCCTTGGAGATTACCTTCTTCGGCAGCATGGCAGCCATGGCCTTCTGCACTGTCCAGACCATCAGGTGTTTGAGGAAGCACAGAAAACCAGACAACCCCCAGACACACACCAGCAGAGCGGAGAAGATAGTGATGACAAACTTTGTGGCATTTTTGGTCTGTTTCACACCTTACCATATGGCATATTTTGTGTACTTTTTGGTGAAGAATAACGTAATCCACACCAGTTTTCAGCAACTGCTACGAGATGGTGTTCAGGTCACACTTTGCTGGGCAAACGTGAACTGTTGTCTTGATGGGGTGTGTTACTATTTTGTTTTAAAGGAGTCCTTGGAAGACCCCTTACAAAACAGTGAAAAAACAGCCACGCGAAAGCCCCATGCTGCACGTTAGTTACTTGGGATGACGTGTGGAGATGCTTTCATGAACAGTGCAGGGCCCTGGACTACTTATTTAAGCAATTTACTTCAAATATTCAGATCTGAAAACACTTCATAAAAACCAAAACTAAGTCCACTCCCAGGAGACTGCTCCTGACTTTTTTTTATTTCCCTGCATAATGTATTGTTTACCCGCATTTGCAGGTGAAAATAAATTGAATTATTTCCTATAAGTGGCAATGCATATCTCTTTGGAAGTGATTTCTCCTTACTTTAAAAAATAAATAAATAAATTGTTCACTTAGATGTGATAGCATCTTTCAGCCTCTCTGTCTATAGCCTCCCCAGTAAACCCCCCCAGGCCTTCAGTCACTACAAATTTGGGCTGCTGAGAAACAGAGACCTAGCGTTTAAGGTGAAAAGCTCCAAACTAAACTCTGTTGCCTCCCTTGCCCTGATCATACATGCTTGTGCTCACGTACATGCACACCTGTCAGGTTTAGATTTGCACGTGCTGTTTTAAAAAATACAATTCTCGTAACTCTAAATGCAAAGACAGTTTTAGGTTAACAGGGGTATAAGCAAGATCTCTATGCCATTCCTCCACTGGCTGTCTTGCTCTGCAAGGTGTAGTGTCTGTTTTAGTGACAGGTCTTGTGCCTACCATATCACAATTCTAACTAATATTGCCACAAGCCCAAGTTCCTGAATAGCTCAGATTGACTATCCTGGTTCCAGGCTTCCTCAAAAGCTCCTCTCCTGCTCACAGGCTTTTCACATATCTGTTCCTTCCTGCTTGGTTACAAACCCAGTTTCATGAGCAGAGACAAACCTAACAAGAGCATGAAATAAAAAGCCTAAGTCCAATGTAGTGCCAAACACACGAATCTGAAGGAACAATCCCCATCTTACTAGGGGATAAGATAAGAATAGCCCTAATCCCTAAAGCAGCAGCCACCAACAGAGGATCCCAGGGGAACGCAACCTTTCGGACCTTGGAGCAAGCTGAGCACTACCTCTTCCCAAACAAACAAGGCAATAAAAAATAACCTGCCAGCTGGAGCCTATCGTGCCAGTCAATTGCTTCTTATCAGTGTTCACAGGCACCTGGATAGACTGAATGATAACATGCTCCCAGCATGGAGAGGCAGCTCACCGCTCGCAGGACCCCCACTGCTGCCCCTTTCCTGAGCCATGAGGATGATGGCAACCAAAGCAATCAGTCTTCATTTTCATGTTGAGCTGGATCCTTGCAGTGTATATTCCAGGCAAGAGATACTAATCCCAGAAGGATAACGCATAAACCATGTATAGATTTCTTCCCCAAGCCAGCAACTTTGCATCTGGAGACTCCAGCCTGTAAAAGTGAAATTTTTTTGAAGTTGCTATATCTATGTGTGATATTGTACCAAAGAAGTCCAGTTGCTGAGGAGGGAAACACTGACCTGACATAGACATAAGCGTGTGCTGGTGTTTACAGAGTCCTTTGGGTGTTCAACTGATGAACTGTGCTTCTGAGGATACAAGGCCTGTGCATTTACACCAGCTGTGTCCCGATTATGTCCAAGTGCATGGAAATAAAACCCACCTGGATATTCCAGGAATTCCCTCTCCATATCAATTACCACTTCCATTGACTCCCTGCAGCTTCCCTGCCAGCAGACACAGAGTTCTCACCATCTTCTTGTTCATAACTTATCCCTTTTTAGTTTTAGTGCTAAAAGTGAGATTAGAAGCTCGCTTTAGTTTTAGGCTTCCTGTTGCTCAGCTTTTCCCCCCATTTTTTAGTATGCCTGTTTTTAATTGTTTGTCATCCTGCTGTCCTGCAGATCATAAAGTAACTCTCACTATAATTTCATGTACAGTGCTGGTAGGCAGTAGCAAGATGAATAACAAAACCAGGAATTTTTGGCTCAGCTACTTCCCTCAGCAATAACACACCGCTTAGAAGAGGCGGGGACGTTGACCAAATTAAGCATAGTTAAAACTGTATGAAGGACAAGTTAAAAGCACTTGAGGCATTTCTTCTTCTCCCAAGTCTCTCCCCTACATCTCTCCAGCATTTCTGGCCATTAATTTTTTCTAGAAGCAGCTAGGCTGAGGTGTGGAAAAGCTACTACCTCCTCACAGGCAGAGTACAGCCAAGCACCATCTGAGCTCCCTGCCTCTACACATGGCTCACAGTGCCTCTGCCAGCTCTAAAAGAGCACTAATTATCAAGGCAGAGTAACAACTTTCATCCTAGATTTCTGGGGGAAGCTATATATTTGCAAAGGCAACATTTTCTACTTAAAAGTTCTCTGTTAGATGTTACTGCTTCTAAGCCTCTGAACATCCACTTTCCAGATCAAATCTGGTGTGATCTGAGCCATTATTTTTGCCCAGGTGGGTAGCTGTAACAGCTTTTTTATTTGAAGGGCTTTATAGCTGAATCATGACACTGGGTATCTAGAGAGACTGCAGAGATTTCCATTTGCACCAAGAGAACATTAAACACGGAGTGCTAAGAAATAAAAGGGAAAAAAAAATCTGAAAATCTGTAATCTAAAGCCATCACAGGTTTTCCAGAATAGAGGTGATGATTTGTCTAAGGAAAAAAAAGAAAGCAAACCCCAGGATCTCTGTGGAAATGATTCACCCCTAAGAACTGAGGCCTCGTTGCTAACACATACAGTTCTTAGCTAAAAATCGTTAGTTTATTCTGAAATAATGAAAATGGGGGCTGTTAAGGCTCACTTTTTCCACTTGCACTCGTTTTCACATTTGGATAGTGAAAGGGAAGGGGTTTAAACCAGCACTGAAAGCATAGCGGGTCATGGGAGGTGCTGAAGCTGCTCCAACCAAGCCATTTAATTTGAGAGGCCTTTCACAAAACGCACCCTGAGGCTGCCAGGTTTCTTGCCAAGAGCCTTCCCTCGCAGACATTCATGCCTGTGTCGTATTCACATAAGTAACTTTCCTACTCAATTACTTGCAGGTTTCACTAACAGACTGGGCATGTGTTTCAACAGCTTTGATGTTTCACACTTAACCAAGCCAAATGTCCTGTTTACTGCAACCTCACTCACCTGGGAAAGCAGTGAAGCTCAAACTTGGGTATTCACTAACTCTGCAAAGCTGCTCTTTGCTTTCCAAATTTCCTCTTTTCTAGTACAGCTATTACCTTGCATTTCTGGCTCAGGAAGTATCTGTTTGGATTGGGAAGGAAAAACGTTTATAAGTAAGCATCGCTGATGATATTTGCATATAACCATGTCCCAGAAGGAATCAGCACAGGTACCAGGTATCTGCTACAGGTTTCACTATTGCCTTTTACGTTTTATGAAATGCATCCACATACAATGAAAGGGACAAAATATCTACCATGAGCAATGCCACATCTGTGGGCAGTGACAATGAGAAAAACCTCAGAAAAGCAAGCCTCAAGAGAAACGTGTAGGCTTTCATAGAAATTTTCACACACATACATTTCTCTCAAAGTGTTCCTAGCATTCCTGTTGTCACTATAAGAGGGTTAAAATTGTGTTTTCTCTGCAGAAAGGTAGCACCGTGAGCTAAAGATGAATTTGTAGCACCCTAGATGCTAGGGAGAAGCCCTCTGAGAACACTTGCAAGGCCAAGAAGTGTGAAATAGTTAACTTTCGCTCTGAAAGTGGAGTGCTGTGGGTAGGCACAGGAAGAAATCACACCCCAGCTCACTTCACAGTCATTTCCCCACCAAAAGCTGTTTGCGTGCTCTTTTCATCTGCTGCATTTCCTGGTGGTATGAGATGGAAGTCTCAAAGGAGTAAAAATGTCCCAGGTAACTCAATAAAGTGATGGAGCATTCCCATTGCTGATCTTGATGTGAAGGAGGCACGCAGAGTCTGGCTTCAGTGAGAGGATGCTCTGACTCGCCAACTCCACCCATGCAGTTCGCTCTTAGATTTGCAACTGGCCAGTGCAAAGCTGCAATTCAATCAAGTGCTGCAGCCCACCTTACTCAGCCACGTCTTCACTCTTCCTTCCCTTCCTCATGCCTCTGTCTTCAGCTTTTGAAGGCACTGAATTCCCTAGAAAAGCTCAGACTTTTCCCTCCATCAGGTTCCTTACTCACTGAAAATTTCTACTATAGCAACAAACTCTGATGAATCAGTGTCTTTAACTACTGTGAGAGGCAAAGGACACCTGCATCCTCCTTCGTTTTATCTCCTTTATTCTTCTTATTCTGACTTTTATAAACTGTCACTCCATAAGAATGACATTTACCCCATTGTCTAATGCGGTAAAAAGTTGCTGTGGGATACTGATACAACCAAAAAATCTATTAGCAATGAGAAATGTTTCCCAGGAAGAAAAGCTGAATCAGTGCCATTTGCTGACACCAAAGGATGTAAAACCCCATGTCTGCTGTATGCTACAGATTCCTATTAATCCCTCTCTCTATTCTGAGACAAAAAAGGCATTAAACTGGGATTATATTTGAGAGCAAGTATCAGCAGTTCAGGGTTATAAACACTGCTAGGCAATTGTTAATCCAGAACTAAGCATTACAAACCCAGGAAATCCAGTTCAGATTACACTTCAGAGTACACCGACACAACCCCGACCATCCCCTCTTAAGCATTAACTTTGTGACTACAAGTAAAGCCACCTCCCAGAGACCAGCGCCTAACCCGAATCCACTCAGCCAGCAATAGCATCTGAGATAATGAAGGACACTGTGTGAAATAGCTTTACTCCATTTACAGAGCCGCTCAGGAAAGCAGGAGAAGTTGCAGGCACCAGAGACTGATCTGACTTCATTCACGCTAATGGGAAGTGCAGTGGCTCAAAAATGCTGCAGCTGGAAGAGGGCAGAAATAAAGCAATGGGACTTTTGACAGGCCAACATTGGTGTGGCCATAAAAACCCTGCTGATTTGTTTCCCTCATGCAGAGTATAATAACTTGGTATTAATAATAAATATGTTTATGTAGACCATTTTATATGAGTAGTGAGAAGACAAAAGAAAGCCTGAAACACCACTCTTCA